TTGAATATTGGAGAGAGCCTATCAATTGGCGGTATAATGTTGGGTTTGAGAGGGGGGTGGTATCGGGTGGGCTGGTAGGTTTCTTGGTGAAGAGAGATTGGAGACTGGTTTTATATTTTGCATGCCCATTGATTTGAGGATTTAGGTGGCATATGTAGATTGAGATAAGTGAAGACCATAGGTGGAGGTGGTAATGTGAATGCCAAGGAAATGAGAGTGTGTCCAGTGTTTTCATTTTAAAGTGAGACTGAAGTTTTTGGATAGTGGATTGAGTGAGGTAAGGATCTATGCCGGTGAGTAGAATGTTGTCTGCATATATAAGAATGTAAAGATGGGATTATTTGTGTGTAGCAGAAGAGGGTGGCAAACCATTGGTTGGTTTAAAGTTGATAGTTTGGAGAAAGATTGAGAGGGTGGCAAACCATTGGTGTGGGGCTTTTTTAAGGCCAAAGAGGGCCTTTTTGAGGAGACAAACATTGTGGGGATAGTTGGAATCCATGAAGCATTGTAGTTGGGACATGTGGATGGTGTCATTGAGGTGGCCATGGAGGAATGCATCTGACACATCCATTTGGAAAATTGGCCATTGCTTGGTGAGGGCAATGTTGATGAGTACTCGAATGGTAGATAGTTTAGCTATCAGACTAAAGGTTTCAGTGTAGTCGCATTCATATTGTTGTTTGTAGCCTTGGGCTACTAAGCGGGCTTTGTGGCAGGAGATGGAGCCATCGACATTGAGTTTGGTGCAATAGGTCAATTTCAAGCCAAGGACATTGTAGTGAGGTGAAGGTGGAATGAGTGCTCCAGCAATTGGTGCCATATGTGGGAATCCTAGCCACGACAATGTTAACCGCCAAATTCGGCTTCGAGAAATTCACCGAAAGAATGATTTCTGCCTGTGGCGAGTCAAGATGAGAGCTCTATTGGTGCAGCAAGGTGTCGCAGAAGCTTTGCAAGGGCCGGCAGCATTGTTGGCTGAATGTCCGAGAATGAGAAGAACAACATCCTGGATAGGGCTCACAGCTTGATAATCTTAAGCTTGGGTGATAAAGTTTTGAGGGAAGTGTCAAGGGAGACGATAGCTCAAACGCTTTGGGCCAAACTCGAACTACTCTATATGACGAAATCTTTGCTAAAATTCTCTTCTTGAAGCAGCGCCTGTACTATTTCAGGATGCATAAAGATAAATTCGTCTTAGAGCAAATTGATGAGTTCAACAAGATTACTGATGACCTTGAAAACATCGATATCAAGATGGTTGACGAATACAAGACATTGGTATTGTTAAACTCTATTCCCAAGAGTTACGAGCATTTCAAAGATGTGATGCTTTATCGAAGGGTGCAAACAAATTCTCTTGAAGAGGTTCAGTCATTGATTAGAGCCAAATAACTTCAAAAGAAACATGACATTAACGAGGAAATCAACGGAGAAGGTCTTGTCGTGAAAGGATTATCTGATAAGAAAAATTCAAGAAACGGTCAAAACAGATCAAGATCAAGACAAGGAAAGAAGAGCAAAAATTAGTTATCAAAATGACATTTCAAATGCTATCATTTCCACAAAAAATATCACTTCAAGATAAATTGTCCTGAGAAGAAAAAATATCAAGAAAAAGTCAAAAGAATCATGAGAAGCAAGTGTAGCCTCTGTTGAATACGATTCAGTTGATGCTTTAGTAATTATCGAGTCTGAATCAAGCAAGAAGTAGATTTTTTTATTCAGGCTGCTCCTTCCATATGTGTCCTCATAAAGATTGGTTTGAGACACTCAAACTGGTCAATAGTGAAACAGTACTGCTTGGAGACAACAAAGCTCGTAGGGTTGTTGGTAGTGGGACAATCAGGATAAGAATGTTTGATGGAGCTGAACGAATACTTCAAAATGCCAGGTATATGCCAGAACTCAAAAGGAATCTGATTTCTTTAGGTGCGTTAGAATTAACTGGCTATTTTTTCAAGGTGGAAAATGATTGTATTAGAGTAACTAAAGGTTCTCTTATAGTCATGAAAGGAGTTAGAAAAAATGACCTATATTCTCTAATCCGAAGAACTATCATTGGTAACTTCTCTAATGTTGTTCAATCTGAAACTAACACTAAAAAATGTTCTACCTACAGCTAAGTTCAGGTACTGTCGGACTTAGTGAACTCAACCAAGGGCTAAGGGCCCCTCGGGACTTGGTGGAGGGAATCTCTGTTCAAGATTTTATAATTGAGAGTCAAGGTGGAGAATTGTTACATTGACTCACAATTATTAGACTAAGGCAAGGGGCATACTTGTAATTCTATGAAAGCTATTAAAGAGTTACAAAAGCTTCCATAGATGAATCGGGTCTGCTTGTGCAAGGTTCATTAGTTATAAATAATGAGGAAAACTTGTAAGAAAGGTGGAAGAAAAGAAAATTAATTTGTTAGAGAACGAAGATGATAACTTGTAGAGAGTGAGAAAAGAATCTTGGAGATCTTGTATCAAAGTGGTTCGAGAGAGAGAGATCATGTCAAGCAGAGAGTTAATTTCTCAATGTAAAAGCTATGTAAATTTTTTGTATTGCCTTAGTAAATTTGATGGTTGATTTTCCTCCCGTTGATGTAGGTTCTATGAACTGAACCACGTAATTCTCTTGTGTTTTTGTGTTGTATTTTCTTTTCCATGTTCTTCTGTTCACTATTCTGCGTTTTTTTTTTCCTGTTACTCAGCATTCGATAGCCTAGGTATTCGACCTGCAGGGTAGTCCTTCGGCCTGCAGGTATTATTCTGCAATTCAGTCATTCGACCAGCAGGGTATTCGACAGTCTACTTCTCGGTTTTCTTCTAGTGTTCAACAGTCTAGTTCTTAGTTTTTTTCAAGTGTTCGACAGTTCAGCTTTTGGTTTTCTTCAGGTGTTAGGTGGTCTTGTTTTCTTCAACAAGTACTCATTTGTCGTGAGAGTATAGAGCTTGAAATTCTTGGGACATTGCTTCCTGTCATTTAGGATCTTTAACTGCGGAGGAGTAGCATGTGGGATCGGGTGCTACCTCATGGATGGGATTTAGAATTTGGCTTGGCTTAGTTTTTAGGCTAGTTTGCATTGGATGAAGTGAAGTAGTTGGGATTTCCTTGGGAGGAAGTTCGGGTAGGAAGGTGTGTTGGTGAATTTGTTGGTGAGGAATTCAAATGCTGTGAAGGTTCGGGTGGTGAATTGGTGGGAGAAGTGATTGACATTTGGTGTGTTTGTTTAGGTAATATTGAAGTGGGGGTAAGTATGAGTGGCGATTGTGCCGGTGGTGGAGTGCCCGGAGGGTGTTAAAGGACTTTGGTTTGATGAAATGGGAATATATGTCCGTGGAAGGTTACGTGGTGAGAAGTGTAAATTTTAGGATATATCTAGACAATGGTATCCCCTTTGGGAAGATGCGTTGCCTAAAAAGACACATGGGGTGGAGAGTGGGGCTAATTTTTGCAGAGTGTAGGGCTTTAGCCAAGGATAGCAAAGACAGTCAAATACTTTGAAGTGGTTGTATGTAGGTGTACGATTGTATAGGAGTTTGTGGTGAGATTTGGAGTTGTGGTTTTGGATGGTAGACAGTTAATCAAATATGTGGCTGTCAGCCTAGAATTGAGATAATAGTGAGCGCAATGCATGAGCGCCCGAACTATTGCTATTAGATGACCATGTTTACGTTTAGCAATACCGTTTTGTTCGGGTGTGTAGCGGCATGAGTAGTGGTGCAGTATGCCATAATGACCGGTTATGGATTAAAAGGTTTGATTAATGTATTCTCCACCACCATCGGTTCAAATAGATTTAATTTTGTAAGGTTGTTAAATTTCCACAAGAGAACTGAAGTGTAGAAACTTTTTGGTGGTCTAATTTTTGTTTCAAAGAAGATATATCTACAGCCTGTAAACTCTACAATAAAAACCTAGTAGTAGCCAGCTCAACCAGTTATCTAAAATTTTACTGCATCTCATGGGTTCTATGATTATACAATTTAGACCTTGGACAGATTACTATTTTGAGGCTTCGTGTACCCAATTGTTCTTTTGAGAAGTTTTTGCCGACTCCGTTTGGCTGTTATTTTATTTTTATTTTTTTCAGCCTCTGTTGCTGGTGTTGCCGGGATCAATCTTCAGTATATGCTAACTCTCACTATGCATGTGCTCCGACTGAATTCATCCATGCATTAATGGTCACTTTCTGGATCATATGCATCGTTGCAGCAGCTTGTTGTATAACTTCAGGAGTCCCGGGGACTATTTTGAGCTCGAGTTCTTCCTACCCTATTTTTCTCAATTGATCCAACCTATTTTTCTAGTGCAAATTTTGTTTTTTTTGAGCTGTTTGATATAGGGCTGTCAAAACGGCTCGTTGTTCGCGAACAACTCGTGTTTAGCTCGTTAAGAAGCTCATGTTTGGCTCGTTCGCTAAGTTAATGAGCCGATCAGGGTTCGCGAACATCTCGTGTTTAGCTCGTTAAGAAGCTCATGTTTGGCTCGTTCGCTAAGTTAATGAGCCGATCAGGAACAAAAATTTGTTCGTTCGTGTTGGGCTCGTTTTGACTTGAAATACTAATCAATATTATATATATATATATATATTGATGAGTAGTGTTTTTAAAAAAATTAATTGACTGCAAGGCTACAAAAAATTATAATCAATTATAATTATTAATTAAGAAAATATAATAAAAATTATTAAATTAGATTCAAATAATGTTTTAATATATATAATAATTTTAAAATCTTGCTCCAACCCTTAACAACTTATGGCTACGTGATTAGGGTCATAAAAACGACTCTTTGTTCATGAATAGTTCATGTTCAGCTCGCTAAACAAATGAGCCGAACACGAATACACTTTTTGAGCTCGTTTACACCGCTAGATTGATAATTTTTTATGTAATTAGTTCAGTGTCCTTAGTTAGAAAGTGGGGCGTCGCTCATAATGTACCATAAAAAAAAAGACTCTGAAAATTCATTTTTGGAAATGAAATCCAATCATTTCCAGTCAATTTCAATGAAATAAACTGCTCTTATTGCATGTCTAATCTATTTGAAAACTTGTATTCCCCATTTTCACACTTTTTTTCCATTTTTTCCCAAAATAAAGAAAGAAAAAAAAGACAGTTTTGAAGGATCTATTTGCACTGCACGTCCTGATCCAATCCTCTTCCCCCATTCCTATGCTGGTGTCTTGATGAGTTTCTGTACATCAAATTATTGGAGTGGATTGCCGCTTTCGCAGACCACATCTTCCGCCTTTCTCCCCCACTGTGGTTTCCATCCTCATTGCAATCTTTCTTCTTTTCCTCATTTCCGCCATTATCAGGCACCACTGTGAACACAAAGGAGCCTATCATTTCATCATTCAAGTCCAAGAGAGGCTCCAGTGCATCTACAACGGCGGACATCGGAGGCCTGGACTTGGATCTCTGACTCAAGCACTGGTACGCCACTGTTGCTGCTCTCTGTGCAGCCTTGGTGGAGTACATGCCATCCAGACTGCTGTCCATTATCCTCGATAGTTTCCTGGCATCGTTCAGGTAAGGCCGCGCCCATTCTACAAGGTTTTGCTCTCTGCTTGGCCTCGTTTTATCTACTGATCTTCTCCCTGTAAGTAGCTCTAGCAATACAACACCGAAGCTGTACACATCACTTTTCGCTGTGAGATGGCCTGAACAATAGGGGTTAGAGACTAGAAGATTAGATTAAGTGCAGATTGTGGTGGTTTATTGGTTTTCTACCTGTCATTATGTATTCTGGTGCAGTGTATCCCTGTGTTCCCATGACTCTTGTTGTGACATGGCTGTTGTCTCCTTCAGGGCCGTCCTTCGCGAGTCCGAAATCTGAAAGCTTTGCAGTGTAGTCCTGAGAAATAGATAATATTTTACCATTTAGACAAACTGTGATAACAATTTGCAGCCATGAATATGAGAGCTTAGATTTTCAATTGAAAAAAAAACTTCTCCATTAAATTGAATTGATTCACAACACCATGTCATAGCAGTTGTTTTTAATTTGTTCAATACTCCAATGTAAAGTTCTGCAATTATCTGTAAGCTGAGTGGCAGCGAATTAAATAATGTAGTAAGTTGAGAGGATCATTGTAAATGTGGTAAGCTTGGTTAAAAGACTCTGGTGATGATTGGAATCTTTTCTCATCATTAAATCTTTTCTCATTAGAATAATGAGGAAAGATATACTTAAACAGATGAGTTTGCCTATATGAATGATTTTTGGTAAGGAAGATTTGGGTACATAAAACTTGATTCGTATGTATTTACATATCTAACATCTAAACATCAAATTTTACATATATATGTACTTGTACGTATGTGTGAAAAGGTGTATTTCACTTATTAAAAGCTAAACTAGTGATATTTTTTTTGTGATATGAAAGATTTGGGTGGTATAAATTAATACAAAAGTTTTAAGTTTTAGTTATGTAAGTAGGCTGAGTCCAAGAGATTGGTTCGAAACCCAGCCGTAATATGCTTGTTGGTTGATTTCCTTGAACATTTGTGTTAGCCTTAATTTAGATGAGGAAAGAACTAAAATAGTCTCCTGACTATTTACAAAGGCCAAAATGATCTTAGACTAGGTAAAAGATCAACTTAGTCCCTACACTATTCAAAGTTGGACTAAAATTGGTACTAAAACGGTCCTGCCAGGTGACCATTTTGGTTCTCATTTGAACAGTTCAGGGACTAAAATTATCTTTTATATAGCTTGGATATTTTTCTTCTCCTACAAATAACCGGGAGACATGTTAATTATTTTCTCTAATTAGACATTCTAATCATTAAAGTTATCTTATTCCATCATTATAAGGCAATTAAACAGAGTAATTGCCCTTGAGCAGGCAATAAACCAAATAAACTAGCAAATAAATGGAGCATTACCGAATCTAACAAGATGTTAGAAGCCTTAAAATCTCTGTATATCACTGGCTTCTCTGCCTCATGGAGGAAGGCCAGTCCCTTCGCTGCTCCCACTGCAATCTTCAGCCTTGTTGACCATGCTAAGGATATGAAGAATCCTGCTTACAAAACTAGATTAACATAACATCACAAGTCTTCAGAATTGATTAAACTAAGCCTTCGGCTGCCGAGCATTCTAAACTATGGTTACTTTTTGGTAGCTTGCCTCGTAAGGTTTGGTTGGAAAACAATTAAGGCCAAGCATAAGCTCCCACTTTATATATATATATAATAATGGTTTTGGTAGTTAGCCAGGCAATCATGAATTGGATTAAGGAATAAACTAAGAGTATTTTACTACTTTAGAGTTGGTTTTCTATCCTCCACATATATATCTACATCATTTGAGGGTAAATTCCTTGGACATTTTCTTATAAAATCAGATCTGTAATTTTTTCTTCATTTCCTCATTTCTTCATCAAACCAATAGATCATTGTGAGCACAGAAGAATCATACATGATTAACTGAAACTTAAGATTTGAGAAGAACATTGACTTACTTTTGAACAGGTGATTCTCCAAGCTTCCTTTTATCATATATTCATAGACAAGCAGCCTATGCTGATCCTCATAGCAATAACCTATCAATCTCACAAGATGGGGATGCCTCAGTTTTCCTAAAAATATCACTTCAGCCTGCCACAAAATATAAAATTTTAACCACCATGATTAATTCATGGAACTTCTAAATGATCTTCAAAGGTCAAGGAGGTTCACCAGCCATTCCTTGTGTCCCTGCAGACCTTCGAGATCCAGGAGCTTAACTGCAACGGACTGGGACTCCATGCCTGGCCTCACTCTCTCATCAATGACCCCCTTGTATACAGGCCCGAAGCCTCCTTCTCCAAGAAAGTTGCAGGTGGAGAATCCCCCCGTCACCATTTGAAGCTCTGCGAAGGTGAAGATGTAGAGGTTGGAGCCTGCAAGAGAGATGGAGAGGTCTTCTGGAGAGAGTGAGACTTCTGATCCGTTCATCCTTGTAGAAGATACCTTTCTGAGAGAGTTCTGCTTTGAGGCGAGCTTCTTTGAAACTTCATGGCTGTTGCCTGTGCTCATGCAGGAGCCCATGAAGGAGAGAGTCTGGTACAGAAACTGGCTTTCTGCTGGTTTTGAGGAGCTACTGGCTGCTGATCATAAGAAGAAGATGAAATTTTGCTGTGAAGGCCGTGCTCTATGTCAGAAGAAGAAGAAGAAGAAGAAGAAGAGAAGAAGAAGGGGGAAGTAAACTTGTAAAGTATTCATTGAGTACTAACTAAATGGCCAAATATAAAGGGAAGGTGGGAAATACTTTCTTTGACCTTTGACTTGGACATGGCAGAACTTAAAATTAAAAGGTTTTACAACTTGGAAAATTTAGGTTGTTAGGGCACTTTCTGCCAAAAACAAAGCTTAAAGACCCCTTGCCAGGTGCCTTATTTGCCTATGCTTCCGACATCTGTACAAAAGATATGGCTGTTAGGTTTCATTTGTCTACTATTTGGGGTAAAAGTTAATACATGGTATTTCTTGCGTTCATGAATAATTAGATTTAGGAGAAAAAAAAATATTATCTGATAATTTTGTTTTCCTGTTTTGGTTAATCTAACTTCACTTTGATGGAGGGACAAAATATATGTATTGGGTGTGAAAGACAAGAAAATATTACATGCGGACTCGTATGTTCGGACAACCATTCATGGAAAGACCATATCACCTCGAATGTGAACTTGGGGTGACATGATCCCCTGTGAGGCGATATACAGACGTGCGGACGCTGCACCTAATATTCTCTGATAAAACACATATTAGAGATTTCAAATAATAGAAATTTATCCACAAAAAATTAAACATAAAATAACATATTTATTATTGGCAAGTAACTACTTGAGTGCCTTGGTCAATCATTTTCTTACCAACTACCCATATTTTATTCTTTCTTATTCAAGTTGATGAGGCATACTGACGTGGATTTAAAGATGTTATTGAAAGAATTACCTTAAACTCTATAATTGAGCTGAAAAATATATAAAATATAAATATTGGTGCAATTATTATTATTTTTTATTATTGGAGAATAAATTTGTGGTAGATGCACTAAAATGTTCCCATTTGCAAAACCTAGCATGTTTTTTTGATATTAAAATAACTTTTATTTAGCTATAATGTGTAGGTAATTTCTATAATGTCATGAAGAAAACCTTTGAAGATAGTCTCGAAGAGCGACCATGCTACCGTTATTATTTATTAGAATCTTCTTTTGAAATGACATTGAAGCCGGCCATCGAGCGTCACATCACCTGCCAATGAAGTGTATGGTGATGTGGTGTATGTTGGTTGACCATCTGGACGTGCGGTGTTGAATTAAATTTTGGGTGAGATTAGTGACATTTCACTAGGTTAAATTGAGCCGAGTAGTAATTTAATTATTTATTTTTATGTTTTTAATTACATTGTGAACTGAATTTTAATTTTGCTAAGCTTATTTATTAATACTTGTTATCCAATTCAAGCTGCACTAAATACATGTTTGATCATAAAACTTGAATAAACATTTATCATTAATTTCAAATGAGTTTGAGCTTTAATTAAGCTTAACATAAATTATTAAGTATTATTTATATTATTTGATAAAATTCAACTGTTGGCAAAATATATATTTAATCATATATTTAGCCATTTACATTGTTATTTTATTTGTTTTTAATGTCTTTTTTTTTAACCCAAATTTATATATATAAATCTTAAATTGCATGGAAAAGCTATTTAAGTAATTGAAAGATCATCAAGTGGGTATTTTATCCAGCAATAAATCAACATATTCACAAATATACTGAGAAAATGATTGATGTTCGAATTTAATCATTTAAATTTACATCATTTTTAATATTTTATTTAAAGCTATTCAATTATTTAAATAAATACATCTTCTATAAATTAAAACCAAACTTTTCGTCGAATGTGAGTACTTTGGAATCAATGTGAATGTGGGTTGACCTAATTCGGATCATCTCCAAATTTTGCGTCTGGATTGATCCAATATTGGTGCAGGAATGTGAGCATTTAGTCATAATTAGAAATAATAGTCATAATTAAGCTGCAACATATATAAATTTTTTGATGTAAAAATAATAGTTGGCCAAAAAGGCTACAATTGAAAATTGTAGTAGCGTCGCTTGGCCACAATGGTCATAGTTGAAAGTTGTACAAGTATAAGTGGTCATGAAGGTTGTAGTTGGTGACTACAATAATATTAGTTGGTCACGAAGGTCATTGTCAGAAGTTGTAATAGTGACAGTCGTCCATGGAGGTCGTAGTCGATGACTGCAATAGCATCAATTGTCCGCATCAATTGTCCACAAATGCCATAGTTGAAATTTTAATCATGTTAGTAGGCCAAAGAGGCCATAGTCGATGACTACAATAACATTTGTTGGCTACAACGACCGTAGTTGGAAGTTGCAGTAGTGTTAGTCCGCCATGGAGGCCTTATTTGGTGACTACAATAGCGATAGTTAATCGTAGAGGTCGTAATTAGAAGTTGAAATAGCGTCAATCGAGCACCCAAGTCATAATCGATGACTACAATAACGTCAATTGACTATAGAGCATGTAGTTGTCATTTGTAATAGTGTTAGTCAGCCATAAAACTTGTTGTCGATGATTGTAATAGCGCCAAATGGTCACAAAGTGTGTAATTGTTAATTGTAATAACTTCAGTTTGCCACAGTGGTTATGGTTGGAGGCTATAGTAGTGTTTGTTGGCAACAAAGGTTGTAATTGCTGACTATAGTTGCAACAATTGGCCACATAGACCGTAGTTGAAATTTTTAATTGCTTTAGTTGGCCATAATGACTATAGTTGAAAGTTGTAGTTGTGTTAGTTTGTCAGAGAGGTTTTAGTTGATGAAAACAATAGTATCAGTTGGTTACAAAAGCCAATTGGAAGTTATAATAGCTTCAATCAGCCACAAGGACAGTAGTCGATGATTGCAATAACATCAGTTGGCCAAGAGATTGTAGCTGAAAGATGTAATTGTGCCAATTGGCCATAGAGGTCGTAGTTGAAAGTTGTAGTAGTGTCAGTCGATAATAGAGTGCATATTCAATGACTGACATAGTTGATGACTACAATAGCTTCAGTTGGCAATAGTGGGTATAGTTGGAAGTAGTAGTAGTGTTCGTTGGCCATGGGGACCATTATTGTTGACTGCGATAGCGTCAACTGGCCATAAAGTTCATAGTTGAAAGTTATAATAGTGTTAGTCTGTCGCAATGGTCGTAGCTTATGAATGCAATAGTGTCAGTTTACCATTCAGACAGTGTTGGAAAAGTGCAATGACAATATTTGACCACATAGTTCGTAATGAAATAGTGTAATGATAGTAGTTGATCAAATAGGTTGTAGTGGAAGTAACAACGATGCCAGTTGGCTACTGAGGCCATAGAGGGAGTCTGCAATAACAATAGTCAGCAACATAGGATGTAATGAAATCTTTACTAGTAACTGGCTACATAGGTCATAGTGGGTCACTACAAGAGCATCAGTTGACCACAGAAGTTGTAGTTGGAAGTTGCAGCAGCAATTAACCACAAAGGTCATAGTTGGTCACGAAGGTTGTAGTGGGAAATTACGATAACGTCTATTGGCCATAAAGACCATAGTTGGAAATTGCAATAACAATTAGTCATATTGGTTATAGTTAGTCATATAAGCTGAAGTGGAGAGCCACGGTAGCATTAGTTGGCCACAACGGTCTTAGCTGAAAACCTACAATAATAGTGATTCACATAAGTCATAATGAAAAATTGCAATAACATCAATTGGCCACCAAGACTGTAGTTAGTGTTACAACATTCATCCCTTTTCGTCCATTCAAACTAAGCCCATTCAAACTCAGCCAGCAGTCATCTAAGTTTCGTGAAGCTTGGCTTATAACCTCCGTGACTCCGTCATTCTTGTTTGGGCTGATCTCCTAGGTAGCCCCAGACCCGGTAAAAGGCCCATTTAGGTTAGTTCCAACATCGACTAATTTGTGTGGCTACTTATTTGTTGTACATGAACTAGGAATAATCATAATAAAATTGAACAAAAAATGGTTCATTTTAAATAGGGTTTGGGAGCTTTGAAGTACCATTAACAATAATGTCCCCAATTATAACATTATTATAAAGATTAAATATTTCATAAGCTCGAGACTCTTTATATTTATTTAAAGGTTGATCTATTTAGTTAAGAGTCGAACTATTTAAAAGGAATATGCATAGTCCAAAACAACTTAAAGGTAAAAAGTTTCAAGCTCTTTCTACCTTGCGACAAATTAATGTAATTTTTATTTATGCAAATGGCATTAAGAACATTAAGACGGGAACCCAAACAAATTTTCATACATTAATTTATGACACCATCGTGTTATAAAAACAATTTTCAAATTTTAGATGTTAAATATGTAAATACAAGAAAATTGTGTAGCATGTGCATAAATTTTTCCAAAATGATACTTGAAATCTAGAATATGCCAAAGTAGCATAGGGTTCATTGCAATTAACAAACAAATGGTGACCAAGGCTCAAGATAAAAAAAGACTCTCCTCAGGAGCATTAATGGTGTTGTAATTAGCATTATCAAGGGCTTAAAAGTCATCAACAAACATTAAATGGCTTAGAAATTAGTTATCTCCATTGATGAGTTTGGAGTCATCATTAGCAAACTTCAGAGCATATTTATGGTGAAGATGAAGGAAGGAAGAGGAGATAAAACAATTTTATATGAGCTGCAAATTTCACATTTATAATAAGAAAAAGAAAAATGCTTGCAAAGTGAACCAATCTATTTTACAAATAGGTGTGAATCGCCCTTCTCCCTCCTTGAACTAACTTATTACAGTCAAAGATTCCCAGCTGCACAAACATTTAAGTTCCTTGTGCCCCAACTTCCAAATGTAAATTCATCTCATCCATCTTAGCATTCACATACATAACACATAACTCTTATGTATTTACATATCTAACCACTAAACTTCTATAATTGCATGCACAGAACCCAATTGTTATGTAATAAATGAACATATGTAAATATATGAAAATTGGGTGGTATAAATGGATGTAAATTTTCTTATTTAATTTATCTAATATCGTTTATCTCATGGGAGCTATTTTAAGTGAAAGACGGCAAGGTTGAATTTTGTTCAATTAAAGCATGAATATTTTGCATGTAAATATTTTCTATTTTACATTAATATGATGTAAAATGTAAGGAAAAAAAAAATATTATTATCTGACATTGTGTGAACTGTTCAACTTTTTTTTGTAGGTATTCTAAACTCAAAATTTTGTTTTTGATACAAACATTTTAGAAAAAACCTTGTAAATATCTCGAAAGAATTTTACATATCACACAATTCTTATGTATTTAGGTATCTAACCGCCAAACTTTCATTTAT